CCCATAGAAGAGATATGATATGGCCCCCAAACATCAGTATGCACAATATCAAAAGAGGAATTACTCCTTTTATTACTTAAAGAATAAGAGGTTCTACAATGTTTGGCMMAYTCAYAACTCTCACACCTCAACTTTGATAACTCAACARACTCAAATAAAGCAGGAAACAGACTCTTCAAAGACTTAAAAGACAAATGACCTAATCGATTATGCCAAAGCATAACTGGACTCACAGACTGGAAAACAAAAGACTTCTTATCCACTGACTCCTATTGGCCCTCCTTACTCCAGCATACTACCATTGTGTCTAACATCGTTATGCTAAGCACATGTATGGATATCAGGGTGTCATAACTCAGAAGCATATGGACTAAACGCTGAACAGTTACCAACTGATGGGTGGCTAAGTTGGTACAGTTGCTGGCTTGTTCCAGCAGAGACTTGGGATCAAATCCCACTACCACCAAGGGTTGGGGTTATGGGTATGGACCAACGGAGGATGAGGATGGGCTTCCCTCCGTTGTGTAGCCTAATGAACCAAAAAAACACAAAACAGTTGGTTGTCATATAATAGAAGGGTAAGAGGACTAGTAGGTTCTGCCTAGACCTGTTCATGGGCCAGGTGGCCCGACGGGCCGGCCCGGCCCCCGGACGGGCTTGAACACGCATATGGACCCGCATGCTTAACCTTAGGCCAAAAAGCCCGGCCCGCAATAAATTCGAGCCTCGCTCGGGATTTGCCAAAATAGCCCGGCCCAGCCCGACCTATAATTAAACCTAAAAACCCTAGTCGAATACCCCTCTTTTTTTCCACCTCTTTGCCTCTTTCCCTTCTTTTTCCAGTCGAACCTTTCTTCTCCACATCCTCCACAGTTCTCATCCTCACACTCTCAGGCAGCCACACAACCGGCGAGGCGGAAAACGTTCACCGCCACAACAACTCCGGCGGTGAGTACTCTCCTTCTCTCTCTCAGGCAGCCATACAGCTTTGTATGGATTTTACTTGGATTCCTTATAATCAGAATATTTCTGTACTGGCTTATTTTTCATTTATTCATATACTTATTTCAGTTACGATTTGTGATGGATTTTTGTTTTATTGATGTTGTTTACTTTCGTTTTATTGCTTACCGGATTATACTAGAGTCGTAGCGAATGTATGTTTTGTTTGCAGAAGCGGTTTTAGTTGAATTGGATAACATTTGAGGGGAAAATATGTTTAAACCATAATTTGTCCAATCCTGAAATCCAGTTATTTCCCTTTCAGTTGAAATGAATGTCTCTGGTTGATTCGTTACTGCTTTGAAGGGAAATTGTTTAAGGACCTTGTTTTGATTAATCTGTATTTGAGTTTCTAACACGGGTTCTAACTTTTTTTTGGATAATTAATACGGGTTCTAATTTGTCCAAAACCATTCGGAATGATTTTGGTGTTGTTTGAAGGGCTGAAATCTATTTAACATTTTCCCGTCATCATCACTTTTTCTTTTCATTTCTTTTCCTTTTAGGTTGGTCTTGTCGTAAAATCAAGATAAATGTGCAAATTCAAAGGTGTATTCCGGATTGTCATCAGATCAATTTACTAACTAAAAGTCCTTTTGATTGTATCAATTAACATGTTATTTGGATTTTGGTACACAAGGGAATGTGGAAAAAACCTGTTCTAAACATAAGGAAATGGCCACATCCAGGTTTGAAAGCAAACTTGTAAGCCAACAAGTATAATATTACATATCACCATTAACTTAAGCTACTAGCTTAACATCAATTGATTATTCTTCATTACAAACAATGTAGCCACAGCAAATCGGAAAAGTTCATAATAAACAAATACAAAGTTAATCCAATGTTCATTTAAATGGATTATGTGATTATTGTCTATTTGAATAAATTTTTTGATTTAAGAATGTAAAACTGCAGTTTAAAATGTAAAAGAAAGGGAAAAAAAAACCATCTTGTAGGCCCATTGTTCATTTAAATAGGGAAAAAAACCATCTGAACTAAAATAGATAATGTCCATTTGAATAGGGAAAAATTCTAATTTTTTTATTAGGTCGGGCTTTGGGCTCGGGCTCGGGCTTCGGGCTTTTTATCAGGGCCGGGCTTGGGCCCAAGTTGTAGGCCCATTGGTCGGGCTGGGCTCGGGCTCGGGCCTAACAAATTTCCATTAATGAAGAGTAAAAGCCCGGCCTGAGCCTGGCCCGGCCCGACCCGGCCCATGAACAGGTCTAGACTTCTGCCAACAGTCAACAAATGGCAAATGGAAGGGAAAAAAATTAAAATACCATTTGTAACATGGAAGATGCAAGGACTCAACTTATTACCTTCACATCAGCAAAGGGATGTAATCTAGCTTCCATCTGATAGCCAAATAAGAAATTTGTCAGCTATATCACCATTAAAAAAACAAGGAAAATCTAAAAGCTCATAAAAGCTTTCAAAATACAAATAATTGAAGACAAATGACATTTGCATGCCTATTAGTCTATCATGAAGATGGTATATCAACAGATAACATCACATGGCACACAAGTTAGCATATCTGTCGCATGATTTCCATGTAAGAAGTTTTCCATACTAAATATCAATTAAGTTGGGGACAGTGTTTTAAAAGCGCAAGGTGCAAAAAAGGCGCAAGGGTCAATTTACGCCTGAGGCGCAAGGTGCAAGGCAAGGCACGTGCCTTTTTGAAGCAAGGCGCAAAAATTAAAATAAAATACTAAAAAAATAAAAAAAAATGTCAGAAAAATCAAAAAATGCCAAAAAATTCAAATAAAATGCAAAAAAAATAAAAATAGTAAACATAATATTAATAAAAAAATATAAACTTTCAATTTTAAAATAAATGTTTTAAAAAACCTATTATCTAAAATTAAAACACATAAACATAACATGTAAAGCATATTCAAATGTGAATTTTAAAAATAAAATCAAACATATAAAACATTTTCAAGCATGTAAAACCCACAATCTCTTTTTTTCCTCAATTGCATTACTTAAAGTGGCTAATGTGATATAAAACATATTACATTCATGATTCTACGAGCTGCCTTTGTGCCACGCCCCTTGAGGCAAGCCCGAACAAGTCCATGTTAGGGTCTTAAATGCGCCTCACCTGTGTGCCTAGGCACGCCTTTTAAATCACTAGTTGGGGAGTTTTATTTATCCTTTTTTTTGCATATTTTAGCATTTTATTTTTTGGGCTAAAATAGATATTTCTCAGAGATTACAGCATTCAAATTACTGAGTGGCTTCACTTAGAACTGGCAAAAAGTCGACCTGACCTGCAAAACCCTACATGACCCAACCTAGAAAAAGAAGGGGGCTTAAAATCTCATATCTAACTACCCAAATTTGAGAATAACCCGACCCAACCTAGAAATAAACGGTTTGGGTCAGGATGGATCACAAGTCAACCCGTTCACCCGATTACAAGGTCTAATTGGGACTGTTTATGTATTGTTAGAAGTTTTCACTCTCCAATCTTTAGTATTTAGTCTTTACTCTTTATTGTTAGCTCTTTGAATTTTTAAGTTTGGATTTTTTTAGGTTAGTGTAGAGAAGATGGGCCGAATGGCCCATAGGCTGTTTATCCTTTTTTCTCTTTTATGTTCTTTGTTGTAATGGGCCTTAATCTGGGCTTTATTCTTCCTTATGTTATGTCCTTTTAATTTTCTGCCCAACTAGGGGTTTCTCTGTAAATTACTAAAGTTTAACTTAATGAAATAGAATTAAGGGAGTAAGAGAAGAGATTATGTTCGAAAATCTCTCTCTAAACCCAAGTTGCCGTCACCTTCTTCTTCTTCTCTCCTCTTGAACTCTGATTTCTGCTACTTTCTTTTGAATTTTTGCAACTTTCTAAACAGTCCTTTCTTCTCAAAAGGTTGTTCTTTTTCTTCTTGGTATTAGAGTAGGCTTGTTTTTCCCTTTTTTTCACCTTTTTTTCCCATACACAGTGCGTATGGAGAACTGAATCGTATGAATAGTTAAAGAAACCTATTTCAGCCCAATTGTTAGTGGTTTTTAGAGAGAAGGGGACTGGTTTTGTCGTCCTCTTGACAGATTCAAGTGTGTTGCCCAAAACCCTAATTTTCTGGAGAAATCTGATTGCAGGCCCCACAAGGAGTTTGACCTGGGCGCTCAATGACTAAAGGCCTTCTCATTCTTATTCTTGAAGATCGAATAAAGTGGGTTGGTGTTCTATGAAGTCTACAAGGAGCAGCTGAGTTTTCTCTGTTTCTCCCAGCTTTCGGGTGTGACGTAGGTTATTGGTACGGCTGCATAGAGGTTGGCTCACAACACATTTTTGTTCTGTCTTCATTTGTTGTTATTCGAAGTTGTTTGAAGTCATTTTTGAAGTATTCAAGAAGATGAACTCCTCAGACTTTGAAAACAAGCATTTTGTTGAATCCCGACAAGTTCCGAGAGCCTCTGTAGACTCTCTACTGGCTGTGACCACAGTCAAGTTGGATGGAACTAATTATCTGGCTTGGTCACAATCAGTAAAAAATTCATATTTGTAGTAGAGGCAAATGGGGTTTTATCTCCGAGAGCAAAAAGGCTCCTCCRGAAGATGATCCATCATATGAAAAGTGGATGCAAGAAAATTATACTGTTATTGGATGGCTTGTGAACTCAATGCAACCACAGATTAGTCAGCACTATTTGTGGATGAATTCAACAAAGGAAATTTGGGATAGTGTTGCTGAAGCATATTCCCAAAAATTAAATGTGGCCAGGGTTTACAAGTTGAGAAGTGATGTGAAGAAATTGAGACAGGGTGATAAACCATTAGTTGTATACTTCTCAACACTGAAGTCTTTATGGCAAGAAATATATTTGATAGAAGTTGTAGCCTGGGACACCACTAAGGATGCTGAGACCTACAGAAAACTGGTTGAGAAAAACAGGGTGTTTGAGTTCTTGACAGGGCTAAATCCAGAGTACAACATTACAAAGCAAAATATTTTATCCAAGGGTAGTGTCTCACTGTCTCAAGCATATGCCTTAGTAAGTAGTGAAGAAAGCAGAAGACTTGTCCAGGTCCAAGGGGCTGGTCTAAATAATCACTTTGCTTATGAGAGTGAAACCCAAAGGGGTTGCAGGGACTCCTAGTAGCTCAAGGAAGAAAGAGATTATCTGTGCGTATCGTAAAAAGCCAAAACACACTAAAGACAAGTGCTGGAAATTGCATCCTGAGCTCCTACCACTTCGGTTTGAAAAGAAGCCTGATAATATAAAGGCAAGGAATGCCAATGTTGTTGTTGGTCCAGATAGTGACAGATACCAAACTAAAGAGATGACGGCTAGTGAGCAATTAGCAGCTATGAAGGCAGAATATGAGAAGTTTGGGAGGATGATCAATCACCTAGAGGGTGTGACTTCTTCTAACCCTCCAGGAAATTCAACCTCTTCTGCATTTGGTCATTCAGGTATACGGGCTTCTGCCAATCATACAACCATTTTAGGTAATCATAAGTTCCCTTGAATTATTGATTCTGTTGCTTCTAATCATATGACCAGTCTTTCTACTTTGTTTGTTTCATATGATTTACTTCCTGGACGTGACAAAATCACCCTAGCCGATGGCTCTCTTGCCCCTATCTCYGGCAAGGGAACCATCAAGGCTACAGACTCCTTGGTTCTTCCTTCTGCTCTTCATGTATCCAGACTAAATACAAACTTGTTATCTGTAAGTAGCCTAACTAAGTCATTAAACTGTTGTGTAACCTTCTTACCTTCCTATTGTGTTTTTAAGGATTTGGAGTCTCAGAAGGTGATTGGGAGTAGCCGTGAGGCGAATGGAATATATCTACTGGATACTCCTGGACAGTGCCATGAACAACCTGGAAAAGCTGCTTTTGGGTCTACATCTACAGAGTCCATCAGTCGAGTCATGTTATGTCATTTTCGTTTGGGTCATCTTTCTTTTTCTGCATTAAGTCATTTATTCCCAAAATTGTTTAAGGGAATTAGTTTGTGCAGTCTTCATTGTGAGTCTTGTGAATTGTCAAAACATTGTAGAAACAGTTATCCTCTGAGTAATAAAAGATCTTTTTCTCCTTTTAATATTGTGCACTCTGATGTGTGGGGGCCTTACCACTTACCTTCTATTGGTGGCTACAAATATTTTATCTTGTTCATTGATGACTTTTCTCGATTCACTTGGATATTTTTTACGAAGTACCCAAACGTGAGGCAATTCCATGAATTTGTCCTAACCCAGTTTGATACCAGAATTAAAATTTTCAGATCCGACAATGCAAAAGAATATTTTGATAAAAACCTGACCTGCTATCTCACTGATTTAGAGGTTATTCATCAAAGCTCCTATGTTAGGACCCCAAAACAGAATGAAGTTGCTGAAAGAAAAAATAGACATATTGTTGGAGTTGCAAAAGTATTCTATTTGCCTCACATGTCCCTACAAAATTTTGGGGTGATGTTGTTCTCACTGCTACCTACCTTATAAACCGTATGTTGAGGGCCCAGGAATAGGATCTCGTCATGGGTCGGTCCACGGGGAAAACCTCCTATTTTCCCTTGTTCCTTCCTGCTCGTGATGAACCTATCTTGGCGCCTTCGGTGATTTGTCCAAGAGATCACCAACTCTCCTAACTCACTCTTGACTGAATAATTTGATATCTCATTCAATAATGGGGTCTCCTTAAATAGGAGATTACAAGAGTCCTAATCAAAGAGAG